ACCACAGAATAACTAGCTGACAGACAAGTTTATCTCCCCTCAGAAACCAAAGGATGGGTCACTATGAGCTGGGTCTGACTCGATGGCACATAATAACAACAACAAGAACAACAGCTGTTCCAAATGGCTCTGTTCACTTCTTGGTCTCCCCCAATTCAATGTTATTGAATTATAATTGTTAAAATTTACATAGCCACATGTAGCTGTTGTTGTTAGCTGTCAGTGAGTTGGCCCCTGACTCATGGCAATACCATGCACAAAGAGATTGGACTGTTGAGATCCAAACGGTTTTCACTGGCTGATTTTTCAAAATAGATAGACAGGTCTTTCTTCCTAGTCTGTTTTAGTCTGAAAGCTCCACTAAAACATGTTCAGCATCACAGAAACATGGAAGCCTGTATGATGGACAAGTGGTGGCTGTGTGTGAGGTGCATTGATTGTGAACAGAATAAACATGGGTCTCTCACATGCCAAGTGAGAATTCTACCAACACTGCCCTCTACATGTGGGTAATGGCTAGCATATTGGACATTTCTGATACAGACAAATGCTCAATTAGGTAAACATTCAAAAAGATAAAACTTTTATTTTAAAAAAAGATTCACTCATTAGTTGTTGATTCTATAAATATCCCTATCTCTATTGGTACTAAGAGTGATGTTACAATCGTTCCCTTTAAAGGACCTTTTGGAGTAGAGAAATTTAAACATTTAAAGACACACCCCAACTTTTAATATTTACTTGATTTGTGATCACTCTAGCTAATTTCAATGTGACATGAATCAAATTATTCTCTACCTTGCCATGGAAGCCAAAAAAAAAAAAAAATCTGGGCAGGTATATCTATCCATGTCTATCTATCTATCTATCTATCCATCCATCCATCCATCAATTACTTCCCTTTCAGATAGATGTACCTGCTATTTTTCAGGATACAAACACAAATATCCCTTTGGCTCCTTAACACAGGAATCTGAACTGTGTTAGGCTGTGTTAGGAAAGGTAGCCAAGTAGCACACTTTGGGCACTGCAGGTAACCCTCTGCATTACCATCCCTTCCCAGTGAAATGTCTTTAGGTATGTTTTACAATCTGAGCAGTGGTCTCAACAGAACGTACAGTATTACTGACAGGTTTATGGCAAGGTGAGTTAGACATAGGAAATCAAAATGATGTGGATGAATACAGAGAGCAGTGGGAGGTAGATTTTACAGAGAAAATCCTGGCTCAATTTGCCACTAGTCCTAGCACTTTTACGAACCTTTGAAAGAGCCTCAGAAAGATTATCTGATATTTAAATTAAAATGAATTTCATCCTATTTTATTTTCAATGAGACTTTGTTGTGATTGAGGGAATGAGGTAAGATAAAGGATTGAAAGTACTGAAGTATTGAAAGTATTTTCAAGAGTAATAGTATTTATTTATTTATTTATTTAAAAAATATAGACTCAGTCATTGTTGGCAAATTAGGAAGATTTTGAAGGAGATATCCAATTATGTTGTGTCATTTCTCAATACAAACTGCTGGCACACACAACTCACTGGGCAAGAAGGAAAGAAGAACTAGACAACAGGTGTGCTAACACAGTACCTGTGTCTTGGAGTCCACTGCAACTCAAAGTGACTCTATACAACAGAGCACAACTGCCCCATAGGGTTTCTGATCTTGTAATCTTTATGGAAGAAGACTGCCTCATCTTCCTCTCATGGAGGAGTGGTTGGTGGGTTCAAATCACTGATCTATGATTAGCAGCTGAGCACTTAATATATTGTACACTATACCACCATGGCTCCTTGATACCACAGTAAGAAAATCAAGTATCTTAGAGAAGAGGATCCCAGAGAGAGAGAGAGAGAGAGAGAGAGAGAGAGGCATGTAAAGGGATGGAGGGGTGGGAGGTAGATGTGCAATGGGCCAGGGACAGGGTGTTGTGGTGGCAGGGTGGAGGTGATTATAGGGGTGGTGGAAGGTGGTGGTGGGGCAGACACCTCCTCCATAGCACTGATGAGATTCTGGGTGGACTTGTTGATTTCCCCTCCAGCAGGAGGCATTCCACTCCCAGGTGTGAAGAAGGCTGTGCTTGGCACTGGTTGCCCATTCATTTCCACTGTGTAGCTGGCCTTCATGGGGCAGCACATCTGGTTGTGTAGAATGAAATAAACCACAAAAACATAAAGCCCCTGCAAAAGAAAAGAGTAACAGTATGTCAAAGGATATCTTGCTAGAATGGCTGAAGAATAAATGCAGTTTTATGTGTACCTGATTTTTTTTTTTTTTTACAAGCAGAGAATTCAATAACATGTTAGCAAACTAGCAAGGTGCCACTGTAAACTTCCAGATGTAAGAAAAAGTTAGACAATATCATCTAGGAAAAGTGTCCTCTCATTAACAATTCCCCTTCCATTAGATAAAAGGGAAGTAACTGTGAAATGTAGCCCAACTAATACAAGAAAACAGAATTGTAGAGGTATATCTGATTGTTGTTGTTGTTGTTGTTAGGTGCCATTGAGTCGCTCTAGCGACCCCATGCACAGCAGAACAAAACACCACCCAAGCCCGCACCAGCTCCATGATCCTTGCTATACTTGAGCCCACTGTCGCAGACACCGTGTCAATCCACCTC